AAGTTTGAAATAAGAACAATTAATCCCACGCTACCGAGACAAAGCTCCAACCTTTTATATTCCTATCGAGCCCATAGAAACAATTCGACTTGCAGAATATGTGCAAGGACAGCTACCTCAAGGTGAGAAAACCGAGAAAAAAGACTATAACAAAGACCAGTATTGACATTGAAGGCGTGACCTTAAAAGTACTCTCCGTCCGCTCCGAGACCCTCAAACCTCCGCTCAAGGATGTCGACAGAAAATACCTGAAAGAACCGCTTGCACAATTTTGAAGCTTCAAACAGCACCAAACTTTCTACCTGTTGTCCTTGGAGAACTCGACGGCGGTAATAGCAAACGAGTGCGCGGATTTGACTCGTTGGACAACCTTGAGCGTCGCGGCCTCGACAACGAGAACATCACCCTCCGAGCAACCCCTGCTCACACACAGCTCGCCAAGTTACTTCATCTCCGACCAAATGAATCAATCACCTACATTGCCAAGAGCTTGCCATCCGAGCTGACACTGAAGGCTGAGAAAGGATGCGTGCAAAACCTCTCCTTGCATGTCTCTTTGGTTCTCCAGTCCTCACTCCACTTGGTAATATGGCCTGCGCAGAGTAAGAACTACAACCGTCGAGAAAACAAAGAGATTTAAACCTTTGCTTGATGCTACATGGAGTTGCGGCGTTGAACTCCTTGAGAACCAGCAGTAGCGTCCTTCCTCGGAAGGAATGACACGCAGATGATTGTCTCCATGGAGCTCCCACACGTAAGTTTTTCCACCACTTGTGGACGCAGCCAAGAGCGTTCCTTCCTCACTAATAAAGTCTGGTTATCAGCAACATCACTGAGAGCAAAACACGCCACCATACCTGAATTCGAGAGACTTAAACTCTGCCGATCCAATCTCACACTGCTCGTCCACGAGAAGCTCCGACGAAGGCCATTTGTATACACGCAAGTGTCCATTCTAGTATGAGAAAAGCACAAAGTGTTTAGAAGTAGTAGCAAGCAAAAGAGGAAAGCCAAACCATTCCCGCGGTTGCAAACATGGTGCCGTCCATGCTGAAGGACATGGCAGTCTGCTCCTTCGTTACGACGATTTCGCGATGGGCGCTCTCTATACTCAAGTCCTCAGCCAAGCGAAAGAATTCCAGTTTCCCGTCGTGCCTAAACGAGTGTAAGTAGAAGAAAAAGGGAGGAAGAAAAAAACTGGAGCTTACCACTCATTGGCGATGAAGGAGCAAACAAAGTCCGTTCCATTGGGATGGATCGCCAGATGATAAGGAGCGTCGAGGCCTGTGCTCCGTGTATACAGCTACAACCACATCGATCGATCGATTAAAAGCTCTACAATCTCCGCTAGGAATTTACCTGTTCCATCGCGTAGCCGGTCCATCGCGCGAGGATGAGCATGTTGCCACGCCCGCTGCGCGTTGCCCCGCCTCCACCGCCACACACGACATAGCCATCCTTCGCCCACGCAGCACAAAACACGGGAACGCTCAAGGTGCTTCTCGCCATTGCAAAAAGGGATTAGGGCTTTTGCGCCGATTATATGCGAGTTGAGATCCAACGGTGGTGATTGAGAACGAGGAAAGTGGCGGGAAAGCCATATCGCAATCTGGTAGCTTTTCAAGGTTTTGCTGCGATCGATGGGATTAAATAGAGCCACGTCGAGTTCACAGAACTGTCCATTTGCAACTGTTTTACTATATCTCAAATCGTGATGTTGCTCATGTGGAAAATGGGAAGGATAATATATTGAAATTATAGAGCCCATCTTTATCTGTAATAATATTTGAAGCAATGTTATAATATAATAATTTGGTGTGCATTGACGTAGATTCTTTTAAAACAGGACACGGTCAAGAAATTGCCTCCCTAAGTTTACAGTTGATAAGCAATATTATAATTACTTTTCTGATTATTTTTACATTTGAGAGAATACATGGTTGATAATAATATTCTTGAGAATACACTGATCTTGAAAGAAGAGCTGATGCGTTTTTGCAAAAAAAATCATAGAAATAGAGAGCAATGATCCAAAGGAAACATTGGATTCATAATGCACATACTAGTGAAACAAAGTTGGATTTGATTTAGAAATTTTTCCTGTGGCATTAAAATTCAATATTTAGACTACAAGTCAAATTTGCATGGTGTTCAAGATGTTTATAATTTATAAACACAATATTAATTTAAATTTATATAATAATTTTGGATTGCTTAAGCAAACCTAGGGAGACTGGGATGGTAGTGGATATACCTAGAATATGCTTAAATATTCTAGGATGTTCTACCATCTAACGGTTGTTATTCACTTAGATTAATTTTATATTTATAATTTATAAACATGTATATAATTTATAAAGTTTCTTAAACCCTTTTTAGTAATTCTTTTTTATTCTATTATCTAATGGTTAATATGCAATCGTATTAATCTTGTGTTTATAAATTATAACATGATCATATTTACAGACTTTATTTGATCAATTAAATTAATAAGTAAGAATAACACTAATATTAAGCAAACCAAGTGTTGCTACATGCAACATATAGCAATTATTTATAATTTACTTGGAAGCTTATAAACTATAAACATGTTTATAATTTATAAACACAAGATCTAAAACTGTTAGTAGATAATGGCAGAATATTAAAGCATATTTCAGGTTTATCTTTAGGTTTACTTAAGCAAAGTTGTGATTTTTAAGAAGGCAATTACCATTTTAAAACAATTATTATACTTCTTATAAATAAAACCTATTAATTTAATAATAAATTATAGTATTAATATATATTTAATATATTTTGAAGTTTAAAAATTATATTATCACTATTTAAATATATGAATGTTATATTGGTGACAGCCTTTATCATTAAATAAGCCAGATCTCCATTTACATAAAAGAATATAGCATAAATTAAAATGATATAAATTTATTATTTAGCTGTTTTATGATGTTTATTGTGCCATAATAATCCTATTTATTATTGTAAAATATATAAATTTAAATATATATCTAACATAAAATAGGTTTTAAATATTCAAATAAATCCCTTATTTGAAGCCAATTTACTAATCTCAAATTTACAAGATTGATAGGGATGCTATTTTTGTAAATTGTGTTTTTTTTACATGTAACATGGTAAAATCATTCTCAACACAATATCTTATAATATCACCAATCTTCAAATTTTTAGTTAAAATATATTAGATATATAAATAAAATTTTCCACAAGGAAAACGAAAGGAAAATAAATTATTCAAGCTAAAATAAATAAATTTTATATATATATATATATATAGATTAAATATATTTAAACCATCTCAAAGCTTAAACAAATATATAATAAAAATTCTAACACTTAAAAATGTGGTACTTTCATTATTATTTTGAAGAATCAAGTTGAGGCATAAAGGAAATTATATAAATATTCTATATGTTTAAATAAATAATATTCTCAAAGATTATTAATTAATTTGCCACCTAACAAGATCATCTCAACCACGAACATGATCCATGAGCGCAATAAATCCAGGAGTCAGTGCTCGAGAGATTTCCCCTGTCGTCGAGGACTTTTCATTGAATTTTTCTTACGTCGCATGTTTTTGGTTTGCTTAATTACAGGATTTTGAGCAGCTCGAAAACACCCACTAAAGCACAATGTTCCACCTTCCAATTCTCGGCTGCTCAGACACATCCTTGCCCACAAGGCACGAGCAAAACTAATCTCCACACGAACACTTGCCATCGTCATCAACATGAAACCGCTCCACGAAGAACGCTGGAAGAATCCAGATCCTTGAGCTTGGCCACCATCTCTCGGCGGCTCTCCCGGCTCTGGGGGTGGCGGCCAGCGTCTCCAGCCACGAAGCTATGCACGAGGCCGGAGTTATCATCCACCACCATCTTCCATGCTCGGGCCTCGCCTCTCATCATCTCCACCTCGTTTTGCTCCTCCCACATCTCCAAGCTCGCGTAGATGTTCGCCATGAGAGTGTAGTGCGAGGCGTTTCTCCTGTCCAGCAGCATCAATGCGTTGAAAGCTCGTCTCCCGATCGCAGCGTTCTTCCACTTCCGGCTGGCCGCCAAGACTGTTCTCCAGGCCAGCACGTTGGCCTCGAAAGGCATCGTCTCCGTGACTCTCACTGCCGCCTCGAGCTCGCCTCCACGACCAAATATGTCGATCAGGCAAATGTAGTGCTCCATCGCTGGAGCAACGCCGAATCTCGACGGCATGGACGCGAAGTAGCTCTTCCCCCGATCGGTGAGACCTGCGTGGCTGCAAGCCGTGAGGATGGAGACGAAGGTGACGCCGTCGGGACGCAAGCCATCGTCGTGGATCATCCTCCAGACGCTCTGGAACACGCTATCAGTGTCACCTTGGCGGCTGTATCCGGCGATGAGAGCGCTCCAGGTGACGAGCGTCCTGGCGGGGAGTGCGTCGAAGAGCTGCTCGGCCTCGACGATGCTGCCGCATTTGCAGTAGAGATCCACCAAGCAGTTTGCGAGGAGCTCCTGGCACTCGAGGCCACACTGAGAGGCGAGACCATGGAGCTTCTTCCCGGACTTTAGCGAGCCGGAGCTTCCACAGGCCCTGAGCAGCGCAGAGAAGAACGGAGGATCGAGCAGAAGGAGCGTTTGATCCGAGGAGTGGATCATCCTGCCGAAGAACATCTCGAGTGCAACGTCTGCCTCGCCACTCTCAGCGTAGCCTTGCATGAGAGCCGTCCACAAGACCACGTCTGGAGGCTGCTTCATGCTCTCAAACGCTCGTCTGGCGTCCTCCATGCTTCCACACTTGGAGTACATGTCCACGAGCGCGCTGGCGACGAAGCTATCGTTGCAAAACCCAGCCTTGATCGCTCCAGCGTGAATTCTCATCCCCTTCTCCAGGTGGTCGATCTTCACAAGCTTCCCACCGATGTGATCTGTGGCCTCTTCTTTCGTCGCAAGAAGGCTGCAAGCTTTGAGAGCCGCCATGAAAACTCTCCCATCTGGAGAGCAGTGGCTTTCCTCGTCGCCGTCTTGGATCATCCGGAAGAAGAGATCCATCGCTAGCTTTGCGTCGCCACACTCGACGTAGCCGAGCAGCAGGGAAGTCCACGAAACCACGTCTCGAGCGGCCATCCTATCGAAAACCATCCGAGCGTCCAAGGAGCTGCCACACTTCGTATAGATGTCCACGAGAGCGTTGGTGATGAAAGCGTTGGAGTAGCAGCAGCGAAGCGTGGACACTGCCCGAGAGTGGATCTCCATCGCCGTGCTAAGCGCCCGGACCTTGACGAGCTTGCCATGGATTCCTTCCGGAGCTTCCCTCGCTGCCAAGCTCGAGCAGGCCTTGAGAGCCGCCACGAAAGCTCTCGAGTCCGGCGATGGTGTTGCAGAGCTCTCATCCTCCTCACTTCCATCGTCTCTTCTCATCCGGTGGAAGAGCTCCAGCGCGATCTCTCCCCGCCCAGCCTCGGCGTAGCCCAGCATGAGATTGACGAAGGAGGCGGCGTCGCGGCGGGGCATGGCGTCGAAAACCCTGTGAGCGTCGACGAGGCTGACGCATTTGGCATACATGTAGATGAGAGCTCCGCCCACGCGAGTGGTGGAGCTGAAGAGCGCGCTGGCGATGGCGTCGCTGTGGAGCCTCTTGCCCCGCTCCAAATCCCTCGACGCTGCGCAAGCCTTGAGCGCCGTGAGGAGCTCGCGAGCCGCAGGCTTGTAGCTGGCGATGGCATCGCTGTGGAAATCTCTCGCGAGTGAGCGCTCGGCGCAAAGGAATGCGGCAGAGAACTCACCTCCCAGTCGCTTGGCCCAAAAAATCATAACCTAAGAGAGAGGTGAATCTTTTAGGGACCAAGAGCATATTCGTATAAATCGTAGAATATCCTTATTCTCCACCCGTCAAAGTCCTTATCGAATGGATTCTAAACAGGGATAGCAACAATAAAGCCCTGGTACATCTCTGGACCCGAGGCTGGTACGTAGAAATTCTTGCAAGGCGCTCTAATCATCTGTTTCCTCCCATGCAGCGAATCTCCCGACTGGAGCATTCTCTAAGCAGCTGGCAGAGAAAGTTTGCGGGATTTCCCTAGGGCTGGGCCGAGGCTTGTTTGGGATGGTGACAAACGTCGGCTGGAATCCATACTTTTGACAATGCAGAGAAAACAGTGGTAAGTCTTATGTTTGCTAGGAAGAAAGCTCAATTAGTACCACTACAGGAACCCTGGCCATTGCAAAGAAGATTTCTATGGAGAGGAACTCCAGTGCCGGAAGTGCCTATTTCACGATGAAATGATTTTAAATGGAAATAACAGTTCTTTTGACGAACTTGGGACATATCACACACTCTTAGCATTTTCTTGTGTGTTATTTACTGCTCCTTAAGATCCACAAGTTTAAAGCTCTAGCAGAACAAAGCGATCTCCTCCAATCGTTTCAACGAATCGCTGGAAAGAGTAGTCGCTGAGCTTTTCCAACGAAAGTCAATACAAAGTCAAACATGACAATGACTTTGAGACTTAACGTAGAATTTCGCGATTCTTATGTTTCCATTCGAGGGAGAGCAACACGGCCTGGATCTTAAATACGAGCCGAGATCCAAATCCATGCCTGCCAGTGTAGCCCCTTCCCTCCTCCTACAACCTTCAGCGAAAAAATTCCAGCTCGATTTCTTAGGGAGCAAGCGCATGCATTTACAGTGGCAAGAGTATCGGTCGCCTGCTCTTCCACGGAGCATAGCTCCGCACACACAATAAGAACAAGATGTCTGAAATAATCTTGAAAAGGTTTCAATTTCAATTTCATCTAGTATAAATGGTAACCGGAATGTTGGCCACACATGTTGCTAGCTCTTGGAGCTCACTATGGTGGGCCTCATTCCCAAACAAGACAATACTTTGCAAAGCTGGGCAGGACTGCACAAACTTATCCAGCAAGACACGGAATTGTAATGGTTTGCCGCAGAATACGTCTAAACACACCTTCCTCAGCCTCGGAAGTTCTTGAATCTCACTTGGAAAACCCCTGCCGCATTGGCATCTGCTTCCAAAACAGCTGAGGATCAACTCCTGGCACTCCTTAAACTGTTCCAACACAAACACCGCCCATGCGACCTCATGAGGACAAGATCGTCGACAGAATGGTCCATTGCACTCCAACCTCATAGCTTTGAAATGCATCCTTTCCATAGCGGCAACTGTCGTCTCCAGCGCACCCAATCTAAACGCAAGAGTTTCCAATGCGTTACATACAAGCTTAAGCACCCCGGGTACCCTCTCCGACTCCACAAATGTCTCACAGTAGCCAAGCGACAGCTTCTTCAGGCGCGGAGCTCTCATCTTGAGCCTCTCGCAGTCACCAATGCAAGCGGTCTCTAGATTGGGAAGGTCCAACTCGATCAGGCCGCCCTCGCTGTCTGGCGTTTGAAGGCTCAACACTCTCAGGCTTGATGACGATAGGGAGCCGCAGAAGCCCAACACGTTTGCCGATAGCTCTTCAAGCGCTGGGCATGCAGGCAGGAGCTCTGTCACGAGGTCTAGACCAAGCACATTATCAAAGCTGCAACGTGCGAGAGCTGGAAATGTGAGGCTTAGCGGAGCCTTTCTGCGGTACATGAGCTCCTTGCCCATGGGCACAAAGCAAAGCCTGTAAAACCTCACGAACTTGAGCTTGGGACACGACTTGGAGACCAGCTCTAGATCAAAGCAGCTGTACGGCGTGTACTCGTTGTTCTCAATCGTGAGCTCCTCCAGAGTGGCTGCAATGCTTGTGATCCATGAGTAGTTCATGTGTAGAGAGGAATTGTATATGTGAATGAGGAGCTTTCGGATGGATTGATGCACCAGCTTGAAACCCATGCCTCGTGGCTTGAGATTGATTGATACGAGACCAACCTCCTCCTTGGCAATTCTGTGCCACCTCTTGCTCACCAGAGCGTACATGATGTTGTGACGCGTGCCAGGAAACTTGGTATGGGGTACCTTGTCCAGGATGAGCGCAAGAACAGCGTCCGGTAGGCTGTCAATGGTGGTGCCCTGATCGCCAGGAAGATCTGGACCTTGGACGTCCATCCGGTTAGAATTTCCCTAGCCACGATCCTTTATCCTTTATCCTTTATCCTTTATAGCGTCGCTAAATATTAATTACACTGCCAACACAGTTGTCCAGTTTGCGATGGGCGCGGGCGCGGGGGGATCTTGATCGCGGCCGCGGGGGCAATCGTGGGCGCGGGGGGAGGCACGGTGATCTTGATCCCGGGGTGATTGGAGCGGATCGTGGCCCCATTCGTGGGCGTGAGGATGATTTTGACCGCGGCAATGATCTCCGTGGCCAGCGTGGCGAGATTGGAGCTCAGGGCAGGCGTGGGCGTGGCGCAGGCCAGCGCGGCGGGATTGCAGCTCAGGGCCGTGGGGGAGGGCGTGAAGCTGGCCATCATCCGAAATTCCTTGTGTTCCAAGGATGGATCTTGTCAGGTTTGTGAGAACCTAGTCATTGGCGATATGCAGGAGAAAAATGTCTGGATCAGTGAGGGAAGCTTGTGCTGGGTGAAGGTCGATGACGGGATGCTGGGGGAATTCGTACTTGGAAGTCCAGCAGATCTCTTCTACGTGGTGATAATGAAGGAAACAGATCTCTCCCCAAACAAAATGCCTCCTCCAAGTGATGCATGCGACCTTGCTGGGGGCTGCCAGATCCACGAGGGTGCCCTTCTCCACAAGATTCCGGATGAGATCGAGAAGGTGGCGGGTGCAGCATATGAGGACGAGATGTGCTTCATATCCTTTGGAGACATCGCAGCTATGGAAGCTGACAAGGTGGTGAAGCTGCGGTCCAGTGCTGGAGTGACTCTGGCTGTCAGTTCCGAGTGTCTGCTCCAGTATCTTCAGCTAGAATTCGAGCGAGGTGTGGGACTATTGGAGGTCGAGATACACAAGGTGGGACGACTGACCAAAGGGATGTGGCTGGCCTCTCTTGTTCGCAGCAACGCGGATGCCGATGGCTTCTCGAGGCTCTACTTTGTATGGACGGCGGCAAATCGAGCTCACCTGGAATCAAAGAGGGAGCTGGAGGCAAACCAGGAGCTCTACATGAAGGTGCTGGCTTTCATCAAGGACCTCGAGCTATACAGCCGAAACAAAGGTTCGGAAGAGAGGATCAACAGCCATCCGCCAACAGCTGCAGCCTTCTTCTTGGAGTCGAGGACCTTGAATGCCATGGTGTCCACAAAGGGAGTCCCAATGCAAGCGGCGCTGGAACAAAAGTTTCGGTCATCGCCAGACCTCTTGGGCATCTGCCTGCATTCCACGGTCGTGCCTGAGCTCAGGAGGCTCTTCTCAATCCCAAGGGAGGTGACAGAGAGTAAGATGGCCAAGGACTTCCATGTGAAGCTCTCGAAGTCCATGCCTTGGAGGCGGCAAGCGATCTGAACGCTTCCTCTGCCGGTGCTCTACTTCCTGGATCACATCAGTCAAATAAGTGATGGTCTCACAGTTGACAGTAAGTTCCTTTTCGACTTCTCCTTACGTTTTGGGACAACGCTTTGCAATCGTTTGGCATTAATGTTTACCACGGCTCTGGAACTAGAACAAACATCAAGTAAGTGTAAGTGCGTGTAATTTCCTTGATGTTGTCTGTGATTCCCACTTGGCCTAGGTACCCGCTGCAAGCTTGGAAATTCTCGTGACTCGGAAGGTTTTCTTTTGAACAGAGGATCCACGCACGGATCCTGGAGAGCAGCTAATACCGTCTCAAACCGCCTTTTCCCTTTGAAATTTGAAACGGGGAATATGCCTCCCACCGTTGGTTTTTAGGGCGAGAGGAAGGGCAAGGGCTAGCAAGAGGGAATGTGGAGCTACGTGTTGTCGGACCCAGATGCGCCACACTCGATCAACATCGGCCAGGTGAGCTTGGATCCCAGTGGGCTTGCCGAGTTCGTGGAGATGCAGCACCAAGAGGGCGTTTGCCTGGACGAGCTGGCCATTCCCAGCAGCCCGCCCCTGCCCTTGACCCCGGCACTGTGGCGCTCGCATCTCCACAAGGGCAACCCGCAGGCGTGCAGATTC